CTACTAGTAACAAAGGGCATCGCTACTAGGAGCAAGGACGCTACTAGGGGCTCCCCATTGTTTCTTTGGTCTCAGTGGGGTTCCCCAATGTTGCTTAGATTCAGCAAACTCCAGGCCACCGCACCAACTGCTTGTGCCGCCGCACCAAGCGGTGTGCCTGCAAATGTATGGGTGGGTTGCACATTGCTGCTGACAGCGAGGACATCTGAGTTTAAACATCAATTTTTGAAGCAAAGGAACAAGGGCGAACCAAGGCAAACACAACATGAACAATGAACAATGTACAGAAAAAACATGATTTGTTTGTTGCTTTGCACTTTCTTTTAACTGTTCCACTTGCGCTTCTTACCCTTAACAAGTGTTCAATTGGAATGGCAGGATTGGGTTTCCTTTTGTTGCTTCTTGTGTGTCGCCTTTCTTGGCAACTTGGTGCTGAATGAGAGGCCTTTTTGGTTTTGAGAGACAGCCTAGCAGGGCCACGCATCCTCAAAAATACAGTGATGCATTTACATAGTTCATTTGATGCACCTGTCGCATCATAATAGAAAAAACAAAAACGTGTTGCCTCCTGAACAATCTATGTATATACAGGAACCCTGTATCTATAAATATGAATACAACTATATATATACTGTATTATAAACACTTCAAAACAAACAACTGGATGAACCAGGGCGGGTACCTTCACAACTCATATTACCCAGGTGCCCGACAAGTTCATCATTCATCCTTTCTTGATGATATGGTTGGCTTCAACTCACAGCTTCTCAATCCTTCTCACATCCCACTGCTGACCAATCCATGTGCTGCATCTGAGGTCAACACAAGGATGTATATACGGAGTTACAGTACTGGGAGCGATGACAGCCTTCTGAAAAACACTGTCTTGACAAATAACCTTGTTGCTGTTTCTGATTGTGAGGCCGTTTGCTGAATGTCAGCAACCTCCACCAAAACCTTCCATGCATTTTGTCAAAATGCACCAGTCAGCGCGCCAGCGCAGCGAAGAGCACTGAGCCGAAGGTCACTGCAAAGGTAAAGGCACGGCGATACACTGCCGGAGGGACTTTGCCCTTGGAGACCTGAGTGAGCAATTTGGGAGAAGTGAATCTTATCGGTTGGAACCAAAGGGAAAGGGTCTGTTTTTTTGACCGCCCCTACTTAATCAAGCAGGCGCCTACTCAATCAAGTATGGGAGTAAACAAGCTACTAGCAATAGGAAGCTACTACATATGGAAGCAGGATAGCTCACGCTTATTTTAAGAAGCGGTCACACTTATGATTTGGTTCCTAGATGTTTAGGGAAACTTAACTTCAAAGCAAGGGAAAGGTCTTCGACTGTTTATTGAAAAAAAATGGACATCACCACAATAGTAGCTATAGCTCAACGCCCATGTCACTAGAGAACATCAATGAACATACACAAAGGAAACACACACATTTTGTGCCTTTCGAGGGGTAGATTGTATTATATTAGTATCTTTTCTGCAACTAGAACATGCAATGGTTCCTACTAGTTCTACAAACATTGAGTTGCCCTTTCAGTTACTTTTGATTGACTGGCAAGGACTCGCAAACATGGCAAGAACGGTTCGGCCGTTCCTGATAAACACCCGGACAGCTATATGTCAACAATCTTATTGGATCTGCAACCAAAGCTGCGTGTTTTGTGGAGAGCCCAACTGTTGTCAAATTTCTGCGTCGAGTCAAAATGAGTCTAGTAATGTCAAGCAATTAATTACTTCCTGCTCTCTTGACACAAGCTATCGACCAAAAGAGGCTGTGGTAGGTCCCTTAGCATAGCTGGCCAAACCCAGAAAGTGCCTATACACTAAGTTGCCTACGCTGGGGGGTTCGCAGGGTCAGAATTTGTGGGAAGGGTGGCTTCGCGAAGCTTCGCGAATTGGTTTCGCGAATCGGTTTCGCAACCGTTCATACACTACAAGTTGGCCTTCGCGAATTGGATCCGCCTGTGTGAAATCCAAGAGCCTACGCCAGAGGCTTCGCAAGCCTTCGCCACACATGACATAATGTATCACACAAATGCCTTCGCAAACATTTGGTGAGTTACACTCTCATCTAAATGTTATGAAATAAAAAGTGCAACTCAGTTGCCACCGAACAACTATATACATTGCATAGCCCTGTGGCCATGCGCTGCCACGCAAAGCCAAACATCGGCCGTTACAGGTACAACAACCGAGGTGCTGCTGTCTGCAGCTTTGCCAACCCATCAAGAAGCCGCCGGCCAAACCTGGGTGACTTAGAGGAAGTTACAAAGGACAAATCGAACACAAACATTGAGGTGGTTTCCCAGAATGAAGACTTGAAGATTTTGCCGATCCTTGATCAAGCAAACTGAATTGCCTGCATCTATATACCATTTCAAATTGGTTCGCATTCACAGCTCATGCATACAGCAAAAACATACATTGTTGTGTAACTCCACGTCAAAACTACAAACGCAAAGCTTTGTAGTATCACACTGGCACTGCTGAATGGTCCTTGGCACTTACAGGAACTCCACTGAATAGAAGCGCCCACATGTGGTGGGCAAGCAGTGCATCTGTTCTGAGAATCTGGCTGGTACACGCGATCCCCATAGGAGTACACGGAGTCCTCACAAAGTTTTGGTGCAACAGCCTTTGTCAAACTCTACTCACAGCACGGCACGTCTCGTTTGAGTTGTTTCGCAAGCTTACAATGTGCGACGGACATACTTTATCATGACGTGTCATGACAAAATTCATTCAGGTTTGTGTCTACCTGGTGCACCTGCCTGTATCCATCTGTCTTTAAACTGTAGACAACTACTACTCGACCAAAACGTGTAAGTGTAAGGAAACTACCTGTATATGATTGTATAATATTGTATTTGTTAAATCTCTGTCAATCTGGTTACAGTAATCTTATGTTATGCAACAAATCAGTCGCTGCCCCCCGGATTGACCCGAACTTATTATCTAAACGATCGAGAAAACGGCATGCTTGCCATACTGACAGTGACCTGGAACACATCCTCGGATCCTTGTAAATTGTAAATTGTAAAGGGAAATGTTGAAATCACCACCGAAAGGCGACGCACATTACCTGTCTATGTCGGGCCAGCACCAACATCACACAACTCGCATTTCAAGCCGGTCCAAGAACCATGAGTTTGTCTCCCGAATCTCTTCCATGCGATTGTTCGCGGGATCCTGGGCAGACTCCATGCGGCTTGCTTAAACCTGGAGGAACAACTGACCTTGTTGTTGTGGGCAGGCTGAACCTCCGATTCAAAAACAAAAAAAAAGATTGTGTTTCTCTGTTGCCATTGAGATTGTATTCCTGTTGGAGTTACTGGCATACTCTCTTCTTCACCCAAAATGTGTCCCAATCCACGACGAAATCACTTTTTGGTCCGGTGATTTCGTAGTTAGATGTTGTTCTGCTCATTATGCTGTTGTCCTTCAATGATAGTGTCCAATGTACCTAGGGTCCTAAAGCTTTCTCTGTGAGGAATAATTACAAGTCTTGCTCTGTGTTGCCATACATACGTTGCTAATATATGCTAATATTATCTAATATGGGCTGTCTCGCACTCCTGAGGCTGCTCCGGCATCTTTGGCACGAAGAATTGGGACTCCTGTTCTCGATTCCCATACCTGATTCTTGGAACATTGAAAGCCGTTGCCATTGCCATCATCATGCATAAAATCGCAACAGGTCCAACTGAGCGGTTCTCAAAACCTTGATGAACCCCCATGTCGTATCATTGTGCTTACGCCTGTGCTTACGCTGCCTTACGCGACTCACATCTTTGCTTACGCGGTGCACTTGGAGCAAGAAGGGCTTACGCAGACCTTACGCGACACCTGTTTTGCACAAAATGCAGCTGACACCACAACGCGAGCTTACGCGCTGCATACTTTGTACAATGGACATCCACTACACCTAATCTTCCGATATGGATGCTGAAGAAGCACTTGAGGATGAGGACCAAGAAGAAAACTCGGAAGCAATCCAGCAGCAGCAGCAAACTAGCAGCAAACCTGCAGCAGACCTGCAGCAGCAGCAACAGCAGCAGGAAATGGAGAAGTGGAAGTGGAAACCACATTGTATATTATATAGAGGTCTTCAACCACCCGCTGCCGCTGACGCAACATGTGGCCTACTGGTGGAAAAGGACACCGGAGCTTACGCGGAGCTTACGCGCCAAAAATCACCTGGAGTTTTTCATGTCTGACATGGAGGTTTGACTGTTCAGCTGTGGTGTTTGGACTGTGTGTGTTCAGCAATTCGAGCTTGGTTTTTGTATGTGTGTGTGTGGAGTTGGACTGTTCCTTGATCCTGGCACTTCTGAGAGGGGTGCTCATGTATTTCTCATGTATTTCTTGAGAGCTTACGCATGGCTTGCGCACAAGGTTTCCTTTAAAAAAGCTTACGCAACCTTACGCGCGTGCAGGTTTTAAATACGCGCAACTTCGATATGACAGCGCAGTGAGTTAATATGAACAGGAAGGTTTTTCGAATGGCTCAACTGCCTAACAACACTGTCATTAAATGTATCAGTTTGTCGTGGGGGGCCCTCAAGCCTCAAACACTTGGAAATCAACCAATATGGAATGCAGGCCGTCTTAGACTTCTTCGATTCCTTACAGTAGAGGCATTGCCTGAAGGGCTCACATGCCCGGTTGGCCGCCGTACCCGGAGCCATACATGCCTCCTCGCCTGAGTCAACAGCTTAACTCCAAGCAACGTAGGCAATAGGTCCTTGAATGTCCTTGATGGTTTTTGCAAAGAATTAAGGACAAGGTGATCTTGAGGACTCTGTTCACGCTGTCTACAGCACTGCTGGCACCAGCATGCAGCATGCAGGCAAAAACGTGCAAGAGTTGCTCTGCTAAGGCAAGAACCCATACATTGAGCCACCACCATACATGGAGCCGAAACCACCATATCCACCATATCCACCGCCATACATTGAGCCACCATATCCACCACCACCATACATGCTGCCGCCATAGCCGCCGTACCTGGCACACCGTGGTTCCTCTTGACTGAATGCAAAAAGGCGAAAGAACCTGTACTGTATCAACATTTGGGGTTGGGTCAGACTCTAGACTCTAGCGTTGATCTGTCCTGCAAAACCGGAAAGCACTGCGGTGAGGGCACATGGAATTGCCATACATCGAGCTTCCGTACCTGTGGAAGGATTCTGCTAAGTGCTGAGAAAAACTTGAACCACTCTTTCAAGAATCTTTCTCAGCAATCATGGATTCATCAACAATGTTCAATAAGTTTGTTGGTTCCGTTCTCCAAACAGGCAATCCCGTGGTTGCATGCTGCTGGCGGAAAAGATAACACAATTTGTGGCGCACGAACTGGTGTTGGCATAAGAAGTTGTAGATGGTGTGAGCCTGCCACGTCCCATAAAGCCTACAGTATCTCATGATCATGATGGTCGACTTGACTACATGTTGACGTGTCTATCAAGATTCCTTCTGTAATACAGTACGCAAGAGAACTGGATCTGAAATAACATGGGCCCACTTGTCTCCATAGGTGGCCTTGTGGAAAAAGGATCAAGTCTTTCCACAAAGGCAAACAGCGCTCCACTTGCTTTCTAGAAAGAAAGAAAGAAAGGAAGCAAACAAAAAGTCTGAAGGTCAAAAGAAACATAGAACGACCAAAAAGGAACAAAACATGAATGCAGCATCAAACTTGTCAGATCGGACGCAGAACTTGTTGCGGCGATTCCGTCGGCGACGTCCGCCGCTGGACTCGGACCTAAAACAAGCATTGATTGCTTTTGGTGAATTGGCAATGTCCACACAGAAAGGACACCATCTGCTCGAAATCCATTCAAGTCAACTTCACGGGTTTGGGTTGGCTCTCGCTTGCTGGACTATCTGGCAGCAGCGGCAGGCCTTCATGACAGGCCTCTTTATAAAGTTGGTGTCTTACTTCCCATTGCTGGCTTTAAGAGGTACCATTACTATCCGGTCAAGTACAGTCAAGCAGCGGAATGGGTTGTTCGCATAGCGCGTCTGGCCATGACAAAGATTACAAAGTGATACAAAGTGGTACTAGAGAAGAACCTAGACTCGAAGACAGCAATCGAGAAGTCCAGAGTATCAACGTGGCCTACTCCCTGCATGCGACTCAAGTTTCCTTAGATCTTTGTCGCGTGTTCAAAAGGTGACTGTCGATCGCAAGGATGATCAAGGACCAATCCAGCGTGACCCAAGTGAATAAGCAGGGCACTGTGGATCAAACAAACGGTGTTTGTTCTCTTGTCGCTTGTGGATTATATAATTACCCTTCAAGGCGACAAGTTTCTGGCTGTACTATGAAATGGTTATGAACCTATGGACATCCAATTAAATTCTTTACGTATGGGAAGATTACAGCAATTACCTGAACATCCCTCAACCAGAATCGAGGCTGAAAAAGAGAAAGAGAGAGAGAGAGAGAGTGTGTGTGTGGGAGAAGGGAGGGAAGCACGCCCTCAAATTAAGGCCACGACTCGCAGCAGGAACTGCTGATGCAGCCGCTGGTGTTACGGCCGAAGTTACCCGCCTAGCAGAATTCTCCCTTGCATCACATCAAACACATTCGCAAACAATGCAGCAACTAGTAGCTCCTGGCATTACTACTAATAACAAGAAGCTACTAGTAACAAAGGGCATCGCTACTAGGAGCAAAGCAATGCACCAAGTAAGTAAGAAAATATTGTGGTACTTTATGCCACTTCATGGCCCTTGTTCATGCTTTTTCTGTCACTTGTATCGGCTCCAAGTAAGAGGTTGGCAGCAGCAACACTAACTAACTAACCAACTAACTGACTACATACAACAACAACTGCAACAACTGCAATTGCAGCTGCAACAACAACTGCAAAAGCCGGCAGCCAAAATTAAGAATAGCAATTCGAACAAAGGGTGTAACTATACAAATTAACCATGGCTCGCTGCAAAGGCAATCAAGGCTCTCTGACTGGAACAAGGTTTTTACTTACAACCAAGCGAGTATCCAGCCGGGATTTAGGTATGACGTCTTCAAGGAGGCTATGCGGTCCATGTCCTGTACATGTCAGGGAAATACGGAATAATATATATATATGTCTATAATATACAAGAATTCATGTTTTGGCTCATGAAGGAAAGCTGAAGCATCTTCTCAACAGAAAACAAGAAGCACTTCGACCTTTTGATCTTTCACCCAACCCCCACTGCATGCCTACCGTTCCGCTCCCAAGGCTTTGGAGGCGCTGTCTGGAGCCAGGGAGGCATGCCAAATGAGAGTCAGTGATAATGTGGAGGTCAGAGGGGTCTCATCATTGGCATAGTGCAACTTCGCAAAATTTCGAGCAAAAATCAAGAGCAATTGTTATACATTGACAATGTACTTACAAACTCACAGAGTCATGAGCTTATTGTATATAGAAGACCATACAGGTACCGAGCAAGCGTCAAATATCCGGAGAACTCTCCTGTCCGCCACACCTGCATCAAGCTCGAAAGTAACTCGACATGAAGCCATGCAAAATCTGCACGGCTGTCATTTGGTTTGTTGCATTTGTTGCTGTGAATTTGTGGCTTCAAGATGCTCCGAAGTCGTAAGCATTCGCCCGCAGGCTGAGGCTTCACTTGAAGCTGGGTGCCAAAAGCTCTCGCGACCCTGCAGGAAATTGAGGTTTGGAACAACTGCTTTGGACGTTGTCTTGCCTATGATCTGTTGACATTAAAGTGTAAAATCCCCTCCCTAACAGCCAGCCAGCCAATGAAACACCTGAAAGTCCAAATACCAAATGATACCAATCGTTGGGCGCAAGAAACACCTTGAGATGGCATGAAGTGCCCAGTTTGACAGCGGATCGCATCACAGGCCCAACGCCTTGACCATTGAGAGAAACTGCAGTGGTGTCAATGCACCACAAACTGCTGGTTGTGTCCAACCGAAATGCTAGGATTGCCTACGGCCCAAAAGCAGCGCCTTTGTGCCAACAGCTTACAAAACACTTGTCGAGGCTTGCAGGAAAACCTTCCGTCTGCTCTCCGACATTGAAGGGCTCCAACTGCCCCTGCAGTAGATTACACATGCTGCAAACTGAACTTTGATTTCATGATGTGGGAGGGTGCCACCAGAAAGCGCGAAGCTCTGCTGAAAGAGAATGCTTGCGATGTCCTGGAAAAGGACAATCACACCCTCTTGACCCATCAGCAAAATGCAGTCAACAGAGAAACAAGGAGAAAGTGATAGAGGAAGGATCAAATGGCCTGGGCTACTACTTGTCAAGGGAATCTAGTGATTCATGGCTGGCTTGCTATGCGTTGTGCGTAAGGACGTGTGGATGCGTTTCTCCATACGTCCCCATTCAAATGCTGTTGAACGAAGCTCACTACTGTGTTGCGGTAATGCCCACAGGTAGTTTATGGTGTCCATCCACCATACGCCACAGACATGCCAACACCACTGCTGCTGATGGACAGTGATCGGCTTTCTGCGCATTCCGGCGGCAGGTCATTACACTCACTCACAAAATCATGCAAACATAATGAGGCAGTGCGGCAGATATTTCCCCGCAGGTGCATGTAAGTGTCTCCAACTAAGCCGCAGCAATATGATGTTCAAACATGACCTTTGCATATGTTTCTGCAGCTTACCAATTCTCGTAAGACCACATTGTGGATCCCGTCCTTCAAATGTCGCTGCACGTGCACATGACATTGCAAATGACGGATCGGTCACTCCTTCTTTTGGAATTTGCCTGCTTAGTGGCAATGGAATCCTGGCGCGTAGTCAACAACCAAGGAACAATTGTATATATATATATAAATGTGGTCTGTTTGTACACAGGCATTGATCACGGAACACTGCTTCAAATCAGCTTTGATGGGTCCTGGTCGCGCTGGTAGGTTGAGGGCGCCACTCTATCAGTGACAGAATGAGCCTGACACGCACAAATTGCTGAAATGGTTTGACAGGCTCCCTGGATTGATATAAACCCGTGGCAAGTCTCCAATTCGGGAGTGGAAGGACAGGATGACCGCTGGGTGCGCACGACAAAACCTTGGTAGTGCGGTATCCATTTGCAATGATAGCGTACAAGCATGTCAGATGGAATTCCCTTTGAGTCGGGCCGGGCAATATACTGTATATATATATATTGCTGTTTGCACCCACCGACTAGCAACATAGTCGGAACATTGCAACATGCAGCGAACCCTGCATGCTCATGGTGTCTTGGGCCATAAGACGGAACACATCCATGTGCAAGGTCAAATCATCCCCAGCAAAATACCAGCTCCACAATACGAAGATACAACAATTACAAATTACAGGTATCGTGACTCGTGACTCCTGTGGCCGAAGGACCAAAACAAAAATAATAAACTCTGCAAACTACATGCGGCTGAAGCTTCACGGCATCCAGCGACAAGAGTCAGCTGTTAGGGCCATCCCCGTGATTAGTTTTGCTGAGGCAAATATGGACTGACGTGGAAAGAAATTACACGTGGAAAAAAAAAAAACTAACCACTTGAGGTTCTGATCTGCAAACGCTTAGAAAGAACACAAATGATCTGGTGAGAAAATACGTTTGGGCGGCCAGCGCCTCGACCCTGAGAACCATGACCCTTCGTGCCTCCGAAAAAGATTTGTTCGATCTGGGAAAGGTATGTTGTGCTGAGGATGGTCGCACCCTCCTGCAAGTGGACCCCGCGACGAGGTCGCAGCGTTTTACCCCCACATCAATGGCAATGGAGCCTGAGAGCCTATCCCGACCCAAGAAAAAACAACGACGTACAGGGGCTTATGACGAGCGCGGAATGCACCAGGTAAGTTCCTAAATGTTTGCCACAATGTAAACGGCTGTTGCATGTTCTTACTGTCGGACCATGTTTCTGCGACCCATGTGAGTCGGGTGCCCATTTTGACCGACACCCCACATCCTTTGAAGGTCTTCAAGATCAACCGAGTGATTGGAATAAACATTAGTCAACGTGGTAAACGTGCAACACATCTGGCAACAAATTGGCTATATAATATAAATAGTCCGCAAACGCCTAGCATTTGTCAGCTCTGTCCAGTGGATGGAGATTGCTTGATGGACTGAGACTCCAACAGGGACAATGCACGGTTGCAATCCTTTTCCAACCTACTAGCGATGGCCTCCAACTTAATACAATAGCAATGGCCTCCAACCTAAAAGCCCAACCTGAGAGCATGCACTTAACATGTTGTGCCTCTCAGGTTGCACCCATCCTGTCATCTGGATCGTAGATGAGTCCTGGACCTGCATGTCCATACCTGGCAGCAGGTGTCTCTTCATCTTGCCCGTGGGCGCATGAGACAAGCACAACTTGGTCCTGTGTGTTGAGCCTGAAATTATCAAGAGACCCCAAACAGTGTGTGTGTGCGTGTGAGCTCTAGATGTGTAGCAGCAGAAAGTCTAGAGATCTAGACGCATTGGGGTCGAAACAGGTGATGGTGGTGATGAAGGTGGAGATCGTGGTGATGGTGGCGGTGGTGGTGAGTGAGTGAGGCTGTGAGTGTGAGTGTGAGTGAGAGTGAGAGTGAGGGTGAGAGTGAGAGTGAGACGAGTGAGTGAGTGAGTGAGTGTGAGTGAGAGGTGTGAGTGTGACTGTGAGTGTGAGAGGGTGAGAGTGAGTGAGTGAGTCAGTGAGTGAGTAAGTCAGTGAGTGAGTGAGTGAGAGTGAGTGAGAGTGAGTGAGTGTGAGTGTGAGTGTGAGTGCGAGTGCGAGTGCGAGTGCGAGGGCGAGTGTGAGTGAGCGAGAGTGAGAATGAGAGTGAGAGGGTGAGAGAGTGAGAGTGAGAGGGAGTGTGAGATTAATCGATTGACTCTGAGGTTCACAAAGTGCCGCGCCTGCCACGAAATCTGCACTTCGAGGT